AGTTTGTGACATTGAAATGAAATGGAGTTTATAACTCAAAACAACGAAAATAGATTGCTGTATACTCTGATGATGAAGTAATTAGAGATTTTCTCCTAGAACACCATGTTCTCGAAGAAAATACCGAGTAAAACATGATGAACAAGAGATTAAACCATCGAAAGAACGTAGTAACAACCAGATAAGTGGCAGGAAAGCTTCCTCGGCCTTTCTGCAACCTGGTTCTAATCACACCGGGAGCTTGGTACGCTCTTGTCCGGATCCCGTTTTAATCCTGCAGCAACCTTTGCAGAATTTCAGCGCGATCCCGTCAAAAAATTTTCGCGTTAAGATTGTTAAATTTTCGCGGCAAGATGAATCTGTATTCTTGCCGCGAAATGAAGAGGGAATGGTACTAGGATTAGCGTTATTGTTCGTTTATAATAATGGATAAATATAAAATCATCATTTACATATAAAAAATAAACATAAAATAAAGTAAAGATTTTCTTTTATGAATGATATGCAGTATGTGTGGACCACATCTACTGCATATCTTATTAGTCAAGTTCATGTCAGCTAGACTAATAAAAGCTTATTCTATCTGACTCGAATGACGAAAAAGGTAGAAATGAACTGACAATATGTGTGAGTTGACCTCACTGAGTTACGAGTTAAGTCGATACTTTTTTTGATTGTCTCTGAGTTGAGTTTGAATTGAAGAATCGCTTGAATTGCCCACCTCTGGGAGGCATCCATCGAAAATTTCAGTAAATATCAATGCTCAATTAAAGACAAGATGGTTCAACGTTACAAAGTGTAGAACAATACTTTCTGTACCCGATCGCTCATTCACTTCTACAAATTCTTGTTCAGAAATTAGTGACCATGAGAAGAAACCACTTCTCAACCTCTATAAATTAACACAATTTATCACGATACCACTATCTTTGGCATCACCATTACTCAAAAAAGCTTCTAAAACAGCGCAAACAGAATTACGATAAATAAATCTTACTCAAAAGGGCTCAAAACCAGAAACTCACCAGGGATATAAAAGAACATTAGTTAAAAGCTTTACCAGAATCATGGCATCTTTCCTTACTCCGACTGGAACTCCATACTCATTTTATTGGTAGAAAAACAAAAAAAAAACAGAATTCCTATATGCTAATGCATGGGAAAAGTCCAAAGGACATCGAATGGATTCCACATTCTAGGGAGAAAAAAAGGATGTATGGAATCAAGCGAATGAAACATTTTTCAGCGATAATACAATAGCAGCAAGTTCAAGTAAATGTTCATTCGGTACATTGGCAATGTTCAGCACATTCTCGTCAGTTATATCCAGAACAGCTTTTTGCAACGCAATTTGTTTTTTGCTCAAACTATCTGGCTTCTCGTTTTGACATCGATTATAGAGTTTACAAAACGACAAAAGACTGTCTTCTGTTAAATAACCAATGGATTGTCCATGACATCGACGATGAAATTCATCTTGAATAGCTATACAACGCTCGTGGTTTCCCATGTTCATAAGGTCACTGTATGTTTGAAGTAATCTGTTGGTAGAATACTCAACATAGGTGGAACAAGATTCGCTGGAAGATTCGACTGATTTTTCAGGTTTCTCTTTGTCTGATGACGTAGAAAATCGTGGGAATTGTCGATTTGTATTTCGATTCTCGACAGGTGAGTAATTAAAATAGGCAGACAGTGGTGTGGAGGGTAAAGTTTGTTGTAAATCATCAGAAAGCCGTTCGAGACAAGTAATTAAGTGCTCCGCTTCCAGTTGAACAAATTTAGAATTTAGAGTATCGTAATTATTCTTTAATTCCATAATGAATGTGTAAAGTTCATCAGCAATATCGAATTCAATACAAGAAGATTTTAAGCGGTGGCATAACTCTTCTATTTGTTTATATTCCTTTTGGAGTTGTATACTGATAAATTTTTTTGTCTCAGGTATTGTCTGTAATTTAGTATTCTCTTTCCCAGGTATCCCCTTTTTGTCTCTAACATCCATTATTACTTGATCAGTTTTTCTGGTTAACTGCTTAATCAACTTCTGTGCAATATAGTGTTCTGTTAACATACAACGTCCTGGACACTTAGTACATCTACCGTCAGAAATTGTAAATATTTCATATTCTTTTGCATGACTAGTACATTGTTCTTGACAAACAAAATCACATTTCGAACATATCATATTATACTCGTCAACGTCAACGAACTCTTTGATAATAATATTAAGATTCTGAAGATATTCTCGATCATTTCTGTGTACATTTGACTTATTATCAAAAACATCCATTTGGTCATCGATCTGGTGTAATTGCATAATCATTACTCGCGTTTCATGTAAGAGCGATTTAATAATATCCCGATTAGTCTCCACATTTTGAACACGCGCAGTATCATTCATTTTATCTATTTTCAATTTATCTTTGAATAAAGCATTGTTGAAAAGCAATTAACATTCATCTATTTCAGCGACTCTATTCCTGTTCACTCCCTCATATAATAGAAAGATAGTAGTAGAATAGTTACAGTTGCTAGCATCACATTTATTCACCTTATGGTGCACACTCATTTAGCAAGAACGATAAAGAAGAACGCTAGTCAGATTCTAGATAGTTTGCAGTGTTATTGGAGATGAAAATAGTCAAGCGTGTTCAAACTAGAATTGGCGATACAGTACTATGCAAATGAAAAATGGAAAACACTAGTTCCCTCCGTTTATCTGAGTATCAACAATTTGAACCTGACTGTATTTTGTGTTCTTCTCAACAGTTACATTGGAAATTTGATTGTTACCATTGTTCTATCATCTAATTTACCTAGCCTGATTTCGTTCTGTGTATTCTTTTTTAAAATCTTTCATCCTACGTACTGAAAGGTATTTTCATTACTCAACCTACTTTTATTTAATATCTAGAGATACGCAATATACTATTTTTTTAGAAGAGAGAAACAGATAGCTATACATATTTTCTATGTCAAAACTTACATCGTACCTCAATTTAAATCATGCCTCATCCCATTCAATGAATCAATCATCATGTTTTATTTTATTTCTAAGCTTTTTCACTATTGCGATCAAATAAAGCAGAAAAAAACGAGACAAATGTATTTCTCACATTCTTGCTGTTTTTTGTATACAACAAAATTACACAACGTAATTTGAAATCATAAGAGCGATAGAAGAAAAAGAAAAAAATGGAGAACGAATGTCGATATAGTAGTACGGTTTATATGTGTAGACGTGAAAAAGACTTCATTCAGTGCTATGTCTACCTGGCACAAGTACAGAAAGAAAAACAATTTATTTATTCTTTCATTGTGTGATGTGTGCTGTTCTATGTATTTAAGCCTTATAATTGTAATGTCAAAAATGAATAAATCAACAACTTTATTCTTGATTTTTTTATGCATGTCGTTCATACTGACTTACATCACATGGCAAGTAGTGATCACTGTGAAAATGAGTTCAGTGGTAAACATACTTACTAGCACTAAATTTTTGAAATTTTGAACAATTTTCGAGAAATTTCGTTGATCAATGTTAGAATCTTTTACAAATTTGATGCACGAGGCGTAAAATGACAACAATACGCACAAGTAACGTTTATCATTTTAATTCACTTATCCCTTGACTGGAAAAAAATCGCCAGTATCAGATTGTTTCTATAGAACAAAGTAATTATCTTTCTTGTTCACATTACATTCTAAAGAATATTCACCACAAGCAGTACTACGACAGTTCCGACGACCATCGTTGTTCTAACAAGACAAGAGATTAATAAGCCACATTCCTAATTCTTAAATTCTACTTTCTAATCACTCTCGTATTATCCCTTGACGTGTGTATTTGTCTGTCCACTAATAACTTGTGTCTACGCCCTAATACACGGGGTAAGTCTCGAGTGCCGGGACTAAAATGTGTCCAGCGGAGGTCTGCATGTGTTGATCGGCGGTCTGCGACTTCCCTTACTACTCACTATTCCTCTCATTCCGAAGGCCAATAACAAGGTAAGGTCGACACCATCAAAACTAATTTTTTGTCAGATTTCGAAAGGAAAAAACCGTATCTACGATTAAATAATCCAAGCTATTTTTACACAAATACTTGTATGGCTGCCCGCCTCCGACGCTTGCTTCGATCGTGCTGACCCTGGTTCACCAGGATTGTGTGTTGAACCTTGATCCTTTCGCACCGGACATTATTCCCATAGTTTCCTAAATAGGGTTTACCGGTCTCCCAACACTTTCCTTAGGTTGCCATAGTTTCCGCTGGAAGAGTAAATTGACCATAACTTTGTTTCTAACAAATTACAAATTCGGAGATTTCAGCATTCGATTCAGCTCCCCGAGATCTACAATATGAAGTAGGTTTCGAGCTGGCGCCGAATGTCGATGTAATGGTGATATGTATCCTATGGGTTAGCTCTACGGTAGAGTTAGATGGATTCGCTGTTATCTCAAATCGTTAGTTTTGAGTATAATATGACAACAGAGCATTCATGTTATCAGTGTTTTTTATCGACTGTAATTATAAAAACCACTAGGAAGAAAATAGGGCGAATCTTGTGACTGTCTACAGTTGGCGCTTGCCGTTAGCGTCGTGCTGCTCTCCATCCACTATAGTCTCTCGCACTCCCTAGACAAAATCCTATGCACTTCTTATCTGTTTCCTACCAGGATCCTATTACGATTGGTGTAGGATCCTAATAAGTTCCTGACAGGATCTGAGATGTTAGGCTCCTATTAGGAATCTCAGATCCTAACATTTAGGATCCTGCTAGGATTTTGTTTCTAAATGAATAAGGATAGTTAATCTCAGGTTGAAGTAATAAATGTATACGCGCCATTTTTAAATGCTTTAGAGTTACAAAGAAATATTTAGTAACTTTTGGTCAAATAGTGAGAACGGATGGAGAAATTTCACGAGAGATAGGAACATATAAGCAATCCTATGAAATTCCTGTTCAAGAATTATCGTTTCCTACTAAAATCCTAAATAATTCCTGCTACATTATGAGTCAGTCATCGCATTTTCTTGCTGGGGTCCCAACAGGATCCTAACAGAATCCTGGTAAATCCTACAACTTTCCGGTATACCTGATTTCTTTAGGATTTTGTAAGATTTTCCTAGGATCCTACCAAAAAGCCAGCTAAATTCTGGCAGGATCCTGGCCGGATTTCTCCAGGATCCTGTCAAGAAATGTATAGGTTTCTGACTAGGGCTATGCCTAGGAAGTCCATATTGAAAATGTTGGTACAAAGTTTGTAGCTAATACTTTGCGCTAACGAAAGAAATTTTTTTAAATCTAGATGTTCCAAGCAGGGGTTTTCACTATTCAAACAATGGACTTGAAGAATGTTTCCAGTAGCAAACTTTTTCATAAAACGTTGTCAGTGTGGTATGTATCATATGGGTTAACCTCGCATTGATTTAGAAAAAATTATATGGTTATAAATAAACTATAAAAATTCTCTTAACCAATTTCGCTTTCGAGGACTCATTTTTAATCTCTGGCAGATTTATCCTCAAAATCCGTAATATATGTAATTTTGTTTTGAGTTGAACAATTATAGTTTTCAGTAGTCAAAATGCAAAGCAGAACATTCCAGGCAAAGAAAAGGACTTCTTTATTTTTAAACCCTTGTACAACTTTTTCTTAAGAAACTAATAAATAGTTCACCTAAGAATGATTGAAAGCAGCTTTAGAAAGCCTTTCGTTTCTTCCCATGCTCTCGTTCCTTAAAACTATTTGACATAAACAGACATCCACTGGTTGTGGTTAACCATAACTTGTCATAAACCGTGACCATAAATAGCCACCTTATAACAGAATTATTTCTTAGTATGGTCATTTTTAGTTATCTGATATTTGTTTACATCAGAAAGAGGTATACAGTAACTTTGGTGCTTTATAATGGAGACTAGGGTATACAGCAGATTCAGAACGCACTTTCAATAGAAAACTGAGAGGAATCTAGATTAGAATTATTTCTGTTAAATTATTTTGTTTCTCGCTTCTAATAGTACCGAAAACCATAGCATCACACAGTCCACCTATATTTTCTTTTTCGAAATGGGATATTTAGATTTCAGCTAAAACTGGGCTCAAAGGCGAGCCCCGGGTGTTGTTCATACATTTTGTTTTTAAAAATAAAATGAGTTTCTTTAGTTGTGACATACAGTAAAGTTTTAAAATTATAATCTGAACAGCTTTGATCAATTTTATACAGTTTTTGCAGAATTATGTCTATTGTAGCATCTAATTCTACTTTTGTAGACAAACTTGATACATCCAAACAGATAAGCACAGTTATTTCATCATATTTATCCTTGTTTGTTACTCACAGTATCAGAATACTTTTCATTTGGTACTTTAGATTCATCTACTTTTAAATGTGCAGCCGTCGCGGTTTTTCTGTTCAACTGTCAACTGCATGTCGTCACTTGACGTTCTGAGCTTCAGCGGTGTCTGGTCAATTGATGTTGTAAACGGCCAACTGCATCTCGTCAACTGACGTTCTGAACTGCTCGATTTTCTTTCAGATAATTTTTCTTAGTGCTTCGCGGTCCACAAGTCATCATACTTATACTAAACTAAACTACAGTGACATCTAACGACACACTATTATATAAGGGAACTTTTTGTTTTCCGTTCAATGAGATTCATTTCAACGACTAAAACAACTGAGCACAGCTGTTTTATCATATTTATCCTTGTTTATTACTCACCCTATCAGAACACTTTTCATTTGATACTTCAGATTGATCTACTTTTAGATGTGCAGCCGTCGAGGTTTTCCTGTTCAACTTGTATAAAAGACGAACTTTTTAAAGTACTCTTACAATAGATGAGTAGAACAATTTAAAATGAAATTCGGATAACAGCAGAATACAGAAATACTCGCCGAATAGAGGAATTATCGAACGTAATAGATTTTAAAACGCTCTCTAAGTTGATTAATACGTTCAGCGAATTCTGAATATCCACTCATACAGGCAGTTTCTCCGTTGTTTATGGTTATGTGTAGAATTTAGCAACAGCCCTCGTCAAAAAAATAGTGATGTATACACATTCAACGAGGAAAAAATATATCCTTTCGTTAATTTGAAACATGACAATAACTCATTTCGAATATGATACCACGCAATACCACTTACTAGCAAACTTCATAAGGCGCCTGTACATTGTTAGATCAGTTATCAATTTTCTTGAACAATTTCTAAGTACATAACATTTAATGGGGCAGTTCTATCTTCTTGTTTTTCAATTTTTGAAACAGTACTTGTACTCGTCGGAAAAACCATCATAGAAAATGACATTTTTTCTGATATAGGAATAAAAAGACGCATATGACCATCATAATGCGGTATGCTTCGCACTGTATTAATAGCAACTTAAT